TCTACAAGCGGGGGGGGGTGCTCGTGTAAACGCATGCCATAGTCGTTAGACCATAGTGTCTTGGTCAGTGCCAAAAAGCAGTGCCAGAGCAGTATAACAGCGAGCAGACCGGCGTGTCGTTCATGACCGCGGCTCATCATGATCGATGCCGTCTGTGCGTACCCCCCCCCACCCCACCCAGGGATGCCCAATCAACCCATGGCATATTCTGGCTTGGCACAACAAACGCAAGGCTGATGACCAGCTTCTGGTTCTTCCTCGTGAAGCGTAGCCTAGGCGGGTGAAACCCCGGCATATCCTTCCGTCCGGAGAAGCGAGGTCCATGCTGCTAACTCGCCACAGCCACCCACCCTACAACTGCCGCTATGCGTGGCTGCTTCGTTCGTGTATCTTACCATTTAAGCTATCTACTGCGTTTTTGTTAACTGCTTCGTAGCGCTAAAGGATCGAGCCGCTCGCTCACCACGCGTGCTGCCCTCGGTTGAAAACAGACGGGACGGCCACATTCATGGCGCCAAGGGTGTCCCCGTGGTAACACCCCGCCTGCGCGACCACCGAGAGACGCGTTTTGGACGGGGGTTCCGATAGCCCGAAGCGGTCCTTCAAGAACCGCCTGTCGCACACGATTTTTTTTGGGTGGGAGAGAAACCATCGGCGGCGGCGGCGGCGGCGGCAGCGGCCGCGGCGGAACGATGTGGGCGTTTCTGTCTGTTGAGTTCCTGTTCTCCGATCATTGTTAAACACAGCAGTGGCAAAGTGCACCCGACGAGCAGGACAAGCACCACCGGTACCAAGAAAGGAGTACCAAGAAAGGAGTGCGGCACAAAATGTGCGGACAATTACCCCAAAGGGCGGAGCAAATATCCCGAGGAAAACTACAAGTGTATGCAGTAAACAGTGGTAGTTGCACATAGCGGTCGGAAGACGAGGGACCATACCCAGACAGCAAACCACACACTCCTCTTGACCAAGCTGAACGCTCGTAAGGGCTGCCGTACCTTGAAACATAAACCAATCAATCGGCGCGCTACGCAACACTCGCCGCCGCACAAGGAAGTGATTTCCTCTTGGACCGATCGAAACCTAAACGCCTTTCCCCCGTGTTTCGGGGGGGCGCCGCATCGTATCCTATACCTAAATAGTGGTACCGAAGTTCCCCGTACATCACGAGACATGCCGTCCTTGAACAATCCCTCGTTTCGGCCAATCGGACTACGTAAAAAAGACACTCGCCAATTCGAAAGATCAAGATACTATTCGCCGCGAGAATGTACAGTTTACAGTTACCGTACGGTCCTCTCTCGTTTGCCACACTCGCCTGAAGCCCATCTTGATGGCCACCTCGGTTGCGGTGGAGCCGTTGTCCGTGAAGAACACCCGCGACGCCCAACCCCTGCCCGGCCCTTCCACCAGCCTCTCCGCGACCTGTCATGTACGTACGTGAAACAACCGTCGACAAACCGGGTACGAGGAAGAACAACAAGGAGATGTTAAGAAAGGGGGCTCTGTACACGAACAGGCCGACCGAAGCGGGGAGATATAAAATGACCTGACGATGTTACCGCCGTGCAAGACTTGATCAGGTGCGGCAACGATACGACAGAAGAAGGAAGCGTCCATCAAGCAAAAAAAAGAAAAGAAACAAAGGACGCACGCGATTGACAAGACCTGCCTGATCGCTCTCGTGCTCCTTCTTCCCGTCTACCCATCAGAATAAATTACTCAAACCTATTGATATGTAGACACCAATACCAACAGCCCACCGTGCTCCGGACGCACGCACGGCAGGCTCCATGCGGCCGACAAACAAAAAAAAAAAATCACCTCCAGAGCCGGCGCGTGTATGTTTCCCGGGAAAATGACGTGCCCGTATCGGCCGGCGGCCTCGGCAACCGCCAACGCCATCCCCGGATTTCCGTGACCAGCCCCTTGGGTCCACCACGACGCACATGCGTCCACCAGCGCGCGGTGCGACACTCGAGTCTACGGCAGGTGCAAGCGTGGACACAGCAGTTGTGGAGCGATTATTTAGTAGCTCCATCCCGTCGATTGTGTCGCAAGCAACGGCATGAAGTACAACAAAACTTGCGGTGTGCTCCCCGGCGACAACGCGCGATAAATCAAGAGCATTGCTGTGGCATCGCGGTAACCTTTGGCGGGCGATGGATCGGGGAAAAAACTCGGGGGAGGGGGGGGGTCGACATGTTCCGCCGAAATTGTATTGTTTACGAGCAAAGGACCGAGTTGAAAGCGAGGCAGCGGTAAGTTGGTTGCAAGAGGTACTCTGCCATGCCGAAAACGAGCGAAAACACGCACACAAGCAAAACGCCCCTCACACCGGCTGCGCAAACTCGCCCGTACCACCCCACATCACCCTAACCACCCTGACACGACTCGAACGTAGCGTGAAAAGCTCTATTTTCTCGTCTGTTTTTTTTTCTCACCTCCCCCTTGCCCCCCTCCTCGTCAACATCCGCCACGCAATAGTAGTCCCCGTACGCCGAGTCCAGCAGATTAACCTTGCCCTCGCTCAGCTGGTCGTGCTGAGTGAACGGCCACCACAGGGCCCTATGCCCGCGAGCCTTCATCCCGGCGAGGCGGGACGCCTCAGCGACACGCCGCTCCGACAGGCCGCCGAGCAGGGTCTGGAAACCCCGCGCGGTGGCGTCGTCGTCGTACCAGGGCTCGAGTGGAACGTCCGGCGGGGGGAGGGTCGGAAGTTCAAAGACGGGGATCGGTCCCGCGTGGCGCGACACGGCGTCTGCGTTGCCAAGGTGTTTATCTTCGGCGCGTTGTTTGTTTCCGGGGGAGGGGGGGGAGGGGGGAAAGATATCGGCGGGTAACGGGGGGGTGTCAAAACAGAATCCTGCGTCATGGGTAGATGTAATTCGAGGAAGACTGCTGTGTTCAGATTACAACGGTTAACACCCCGAAAGCAGGATGGGGCAACACAAGGCAGGGATCCGGTCTATTTGGGCACCTCTCTATTACACCTTCCCACACACTAGACCCCCGACCGGCCCCGCCCAACTCCGCCCCCCCACGCAACACAAACCCACCCACCTTGCGCGAGGAGAGCAATTCCGAGGACGGAATACCCGCGCGTTCTCAGCGACTCTAGCGCGGACAAGGTCGCGCCGATGCCTCCCAGCTTCCCGTCGCCGACCAGCAGCACCGGCAGCCTCATCGGGCGGAACGTGTCCGCCTGGAGGGACCCCGACGGCGCGGGGCTGAGGACACCGCCGGCGGCCTCTACCAACACCAAGCTCCCCAAAGACGAGGAGGAGGAAGAAGAAGGTTGGGGGGTCGTCGGGCTGCCGGCGTCGCCCTCCGCCTCGTCGTCGGCACCGCCGCTGTCGCCGCCGCCGCTCGACAGGATTGCCTTGACTTCATCGACGATAGCCTCGACGATTTCGGTGTCCGAGGCGATCTTGCCGCCGTCTCGCTCGGCCGCCAGGTGTGGGGACACCGGGTCGGTGTAGTCGAAGAGCGTGGACGTGCGGCATAACGGCGGAGCGACGCCGCCGGGCTTGCCGCTGGCGGCAGCCGCAGCGGCGGCCCCGACGTTGGCGTGTCGCGAGACGAAAACGGCGTCCGAGGGGGAGCCGGCTTGGACGGGCTTGATGTACGACGCGCGCAGGCCCTTTTGCAACGCCGTGGCAGCGGCAGCAACAACAACCGCAACAGCGTATCAGCAACGTCTCAATCTTTCGTCAGTGCTGGGGCCATCATCGTGTTGTTCTCATCACCCATCTATGCGACTGCCGCTACGCCTGGAATAAACGTTCGACAGCACGGGTCAGCAAGCTTAAGCTTCCAAAAGAGGGAGGCGAGAGGTCTACTCAGGAATCACTCACGATCTTAACCCCCACGCCCTCACAGCAGTAGTAAATAAAAGCCGTTTGGCGTTTATCATGACGAGCAGAGTATTTCAGCCACTTCCATCAGCGCTTGTTCTACCCGTATCGCTACGTCACGAGGGGTGCGCGCGCGGCTGCTACACCTACAAGCGCTGCAACATCCACATCCGTGCAAAACCCCAAAACACGCTCGCCACACAGGTTTCGCTCTTCGTTCACTGGAGCGGGACCACCAATAAAATACCCTTGGGCTTTTCCAACACTTGAACCTTATAATCTCCCCTGGACTCTCATACGTTGAGTCGTCCGTAAGCTGGTGGACAGCAGGGCCAAGTTATCCCTCACCTGCAACGCGGCGGCACGCAGGAGACCCGCCGTGATCACCGTCTTGCCCACGTCCGTGTTGGCGCCGAAAACCTGGGGTGGCGGAACGGGAACAAGTGGAATAACCATCTCCACGGTGAGGTCAGGCCTGGCGCGCATCGCGCCATATGGCACGGGTGCGTGTGACGCACGAGGGAAGGAGGCGAGACGTACCCGGTAGGGGTTAGCTCTAGCCGGCGGTGCCCCTTGCGCTACAATAGTCTGGCAATAGGACGTACGTGGCGTTGTTGTTATTTCCACCCACAGAGAGCGCAACACGACGGACGCGCAAGCTGTTGGGTATAGTACATATGCTAGCACGTGGGTATCTTGGTTGCATCTATTCTATTCGCAAAACATCGCCAACCAAGGCACTGGTTCGTACTCATCATGGATTGCCGCTTGTCCACCCCCCCCCGCCTGTCGGATTCTTTGCCTACTCGGTTTCATAGAGGCGTGTATGCGGGGGCCCGAAGAGGTGACTTGCAGGCCAGAACACCAGAATAGTTACGTGACAAGAATACCATCAGTTTACGTACATGAGTCAGCAGAAGAAAATAGAAATTCCTTACAATCACGAATGGGGCACAAGAGTTCCTCTGTGCGTTCCTGAGAAATCTCTTTCCCTCATTCTCTCTCTCTCTCTCTCTCTCTCTCCCCGCGATCTATATTACTTGCACACGCACGCGCCACGGCACATCATCACCAAGCACCACTTACAAAACAAAACGTGTCCAACAGCATCCCTCTCAACGACGACAGCATATATATAAGCTGCTTTGCGGGAACATCTTAACAATTTCAAGTGCTGCTGTATACACAACAGTACTCCGCGCCGTCTCCTCTGGTAATCTCCGCCGAACTGCCGGCGCTTCCGGGACGCGGACCGCGCGCACACACACCACCGTGAACGACGGCATCTTCGCCCCCGAAGTCGTCCAGCACAGACGACCTCCTGAGGAGAACAGCGGGTCCTACAACCCCCCACGGACCCGGTGCAAGACGCGCTAGGTGTTTTTAAGCGCCTACGACCCGACAAAGGCCCTCAGCTTGTGCGTGCGCCTGCTGCTACTACGGCGATGAGAGCTTCCGCGTGCACAGCAGTTCCAAGATCTGTGAAGGGCTAAATTATTCACGTAACCGCGTCGCTTCGGCCATGGAGCGCGTGGAGGAAAACGTCAGCGCCTTCAACACTCGCGGGAAAAGCCGGGGCTGCTTAGGGTCCGGCCTAAGGGGGGATGGACGTCAGCGTCCGAAAGCCCCCTGAGTCTAGAAGGAGACACTCCGACGGCTTTGACCTCTTCAGGGGCGTGACCAAGAGAGTCCGTCCCGTAGGCGCCCCTCCACCAGCGGCAGGGTAGGGTTGCTGCAACCATATACTTCGAAGTACATTATGAAACCAAGAGAAGGGTTGTTTTCGAGTTTCGACCCTGACCGGCGCGAATCTTAAAATCTTTCGTTCGTCGTTGTTCTCTCGTATGATTTGCCAATCAAGCCAGATACACACAAATCAAGCGTTTGTTTTGAAGTTTAAAAAAATATCATGCTAACTGCTGTAGTATCTGGCGTGGCACGTCACAGACCCTACTAGATTCGGGGGTTAGTAGCGCAAGTTTTTTTGTGTCTGATAAACGGCTACCTGCAATCAGGCTAGTGCGTCTGTCTTTAAGTAGGGGGGGGGGGGGGGGCTAACCCCTTTGTTGCTTGCCCAAATCATTTGACCATTGACCACCCCCCCCTTTCAAAACGAAAAAAGGGGGGGGGGGGGGGGGGGGGGAACCGTTAATATAAACCCAACGGGCAAAAAAAAAAAAATTCCCCCCCCTTCCGGGAAAAAATGGTCCAAACCCAAACCCCAAAACTACCCCCCCTTCCAAAAGAAAGGTAACCCCCTTTTCTGCCGGAAAAACCCCCCCCGGAACCTTTAAAAAAAAAAACCCAACCCCTGTATAATTGGACCCC